CACAGCAACAATTCAGCGAATAACCTAGCGCTGCTGCAGGCTTCGCCTGAAAGCAAATTTAGGATTATGAGCTCAACAGATAAACAAATGGGCCACTACCTTGCAAATTGTTCTTCCAAAGCATTCTTATGACCGTGGGGAAACTAGAGACAACTTCTTGTCGCAGTTTGTCGTACCGCAAGATGTTGCAGAAGCGCAAGAGATAGCAAATCAAAGAGACGAAATTGCTGGAAATACACCTATTCGCCAAAATCTAAAAGAAACAACCATTGCTGCACTGTGCCGTCCTAGCAAAAGTAAGGTTCTCGGGAATACTTCACACGATTTCATTCAAGCAATCAGGTACTTCGCCAGATATCACATATCATATCGTACCTATGCAATGTGCATGAGCTGCCAAAATTGATAAAATACATTAAATTTTGCACACTGAAAACGCAATAACGATAAGACAATTGGAGTATTGCCAAATCACGTCGACCGAAATCGCGTGAAGTATACCCAGACCTCATCGCATTCGCAGCCCTCTGTGCACCTTTCACGTCAGTAAACGGACTATAAATGTCAAAAACAGAATTAACAACTATGCAAAACATACCTGACATATTCTCTGCCGAGGTTGTTCAAAATGCAATCATGGAACTGCTTGTAACGCTCCGTAGCGGTCTCAACACCAATCAAGGCAAAGTACTTTCGCAGAATCTTTACAATGGGGCCATCTAAGGTGACCTTTGACGCCTAGATAGGAAGCAAAGAATAATAAAACCACATTATCCGATAAAACTTTAACGAAATGAGTAAACATACGCTGAAGGCCTTCAAAACCTCGACGAGTCCATCAAGAATTTCTTTTTCGAAGCCTGCGACACTCTCGAGCAATGTTGCACATGCAGCGTCATCACCTAGATGAAATGTGAAGCTACCAGACTTTGAAGGGAATGAAAATGCTTACTGAGCATAGCTTGAGCAACAGTTTGCCGGACACTTTCGGCTGTATGCACAGCAGGCCTTGCTTTCTTCGTCGGTGGTGGTTTCATCGCCTACCTCAAAAGAGTTGCGGAACATCAATGTTCCAGAGAAAAACAGCTATTGCCATCCTTCGTTGTGAAAGAATTTGATAGACTAGCGACTTTTTGTACATCCAAGGCTGGATTCTACGGC